AAATAAGTAATATGTTCTATTATGTTTAAAGCTAAAAACAAATTGGTTATATATATAAAATGTAAAATACCTGCTAACATATACTGTTCAAATTTGTTATCCCGTTGTAATTTTCTCTTGTTCATCTGTATAAAACTTGCGTAGATATATTGTTCCGCGATATTTGCTAGCACAAATGATCCATTTCTTCCTATCTTTTTCTTCTTCCTCCATATTTTCTTCATATCTTACATATGGGCTGCATAATAATTTTTTTAACACCCCACGACGGCAAATAAAATCTACATCCAACCTAATCAGAATTACTTTTATCAGAATTAATGTAAAAATAATCATTATATGCAATGTTCCAAAATTTTGCTATTTGCAAGTATATTTCTTTCATAAAACATCTTGACAAAATAGGATTCAATTTCTCAAATAAAATTGCAAAGTGGGTTATTTATAGTAGCTTTACAATTCTTAATATTATATACTTTTTAAAGTTTAAACTAACATTTTATTCAAATCTATTAAAAATAGACTGAAAATTTGACTTATTTATTTGTTTCAACTGTAACCTTTTTTTAACTTTTTAAAAAAATTTAAATAATTTATTAAAAATTAAAAAAAAACAAATCCAAATTAGTAAGAGAACTCTATCATCAAAAGAAACTGTAAATTTTGAAACATATTTACTGTTATATAAAAATGTCATCTAATGGTCGTAAAATATAATACATCATACAATTAATGCAATACAATTAATACATAATTAATATATACAATGTGAAATATACTCATCAATAACACTCATAACAATCATTATACAAGTTTTATATACTTAAATAATAATTATTAAATAACTTACCAACGCTCTTTTTGCATTGATAATGGTTTTTCAAGTCGACTAAAATTTTCCGCAATCCATTGGAATATAAAATCCAATCTTTCGCATGCATCAGGTTTAAAACGAGTAGAACATTCAGAATTTCTCTTCAGATCGTAACACACATTATCAAGAATCGGAGGAGGAATATAATATTTCAGTTGCGATAAATCAGCTTGATATTTCGCATCACCATCGACACTAAAATGTCCCATTAATTCAATCGTTAATCTTGGAACCGAATAATCGGGAAATTTTTCAAAATTAATTTTAAATTTCATCATAATTAATATAACTATTATACAATATTATAAGCTTTTCTTTTAACGCGCTACTATGAAACGTTCGAACAATCTATGCAGTATCCTACGACACAATGATGCTAATGCAGTCCATGCAGTGTATAAAGTTCTCGGAAGTTCAGGTATTTTCCCGTACTTTTTGAGGAGTTCCCCTGAGCTAAGGAAAGTACATACAGGGTGTTGCATATACATATTGGGCAGTACGACGGGTTGCGCGGCATACTTTGCAGGGATAGGCGCGGTTCAGTGGATAATGACAGCATATATACGTAGCATCATAACTTATTGATCGAATTAATCGCGCGCATTTTTACTAATTTTGAGTTTACAGCGTTTTAATTATAACGGACTTGAATAATCGTTGCAGTTATTACTAGAGAAGCTAAAACACATTAAAGATAAAAATTAAATTTTAGAAAGTTAACACGTTAAAAGAAACAAATATGATACAACAAAATTTCTTTCTTTACCGCTTTACTTTTCGCGCGTGTTAGCGTTGTAAATTTTGATAGAGCGGTAAAGAAAGAAATTTTGTTGT